ATTCTGTTAGTTTTCCAGAATAGCCTCATGTCAGGGCAATACCAAGTTTAAAGGCTTCTTGCAAGCATCTCTTATTCCAAAGAGAGAGATTAAAAAGAGGGAGGGAGAAGAAAAGTGAGTGTCAATTATTAAAAAAAAAAAAAAAAATTAAGCAAGGAAACTCTACAATTGGGCAAAATTTGTCCTTGACTGCAGATTAACATTCAGTGATAAAAGGTTATGAGTGAGACATGCTGAAAAACTGAAAAACTCAGTGAGATCCTTCACAATTTTGAGCAGGGATAGAAAGCAACAAGATAGATGAAAATTAATGCCTGCTGTGTAAATCACTGTTAGGTAAAGTAGTGCATATGGGAAAATAGTTTCGTTTTTTTTTCCTTTGGCCTCTGGAGACCATTGGGATTTTGACAGTAGCATGTTTGTGTGCTTCTACATAACTAAGGGAAAAAAAACCTGGGCTTGTTACCACCTCAGTAGGACAAAATACCAGTTCTCCTCCACTGAATATTATGTTTGAAGTGCATGACTGACTGGTTCAGCTCCATGAGAAGAACTGACTTCTTTTTTCAAAAGGAAAGGAAAAAAGATGAGAAGAAGAAGAAAAGAGAAAAGCAAAGAAGCTGAGAAGGAAAGGTGGAGAAGAGAACAGTTCTGTTCTGTCTTACTCTTCTCTCCTTGTGAACCTTATGGGATGTGCAGCTGCTGCCTCTTCTTTGAGGTTAGCACTGTAAAGGACTTTGCAAGTGATTGTTAGATTTTTGTATGAAACTTCTGAAATCTGGTGAGTACAATGGGTTAAAAATAAATGGATTAATAACAAAATTGTCCTCCTTCCCATTGCGTACAGTGGATATTTTATTGCGCTTACTCTCAAACCAGCAACTTTCCACAGCTGTTAATTTAATTATTAATTTACAGCTGTAAATTAATTCTATAAAATTCTCCAAAAATATGTACGTTTTTCATGGTGACTGGGACTTTTATACTTCTGAGGCAGCTCTTGATCTCTGCATGTTGTTTGGGGTCTTTACCCACAGTCTCCTTTCCTGCCTTCTGCTGTCTTCAAGGAGCTTCTTAGTCTAAGCATGCTCCAAAACATTCTCCTTGTTTTAGGAATATACCTTTCCCGTGTAGGAAATGTAACACCTTTTGAGGAAACAGCACACACAGTGCATAGTGGGGGCGCAAGGAAATTATATATTCTGATAATCAGTAGGTTTGCATAAGTATCCAAATGATGATTTTGAACTTCTTGTTACTGCATACATATATACATACTCATATTCTGTGCTTACACTAGTCTAGAAAACATGAGGATCAGACAAATACACCCTGCCATCCCCAGAGTGATTATTGTAGAATAAGTTAAAAAAGCACTCTGGTTTAATTTATTTCTTTTCTTGTTGGCTTGCTACTACTTTTTTTTTGTTTGTTTTTTTCTTTTTTGCACTAGAAAAGAAAGAAAAATAAGTGGAGATATTGGATAATATTTGATACCAGGGTTAAGAATGAGAAAGACAAGGAACTTTTTAACATATATATATATATAAAACAATTTTTTTAATGTCCTCACTCATGTATTTGTGTATTGATCCTTTTTCTGAGACTTCAAGTGCAACTGATGTTTAAAAGTAATGTGGTTTTCAAGGTCTTGCTATATTTCCCTTCAAGTTCTATTTAGAGAATCACAGGATACTTTTTTCTCTATGAAAATATCTTCATTTGGGATGTTTCAGATCTTGCCATTATTAGAAAATCAAAAGAATGGATATTGTAAACCTGAGTGGGAGACTGTTCGAGAGAAGAGGAGCTCTTCAGTGGTCAGGGATATAACTGCAGCTGGGCATGAGAGAAATCAATGCAAGAACATGACTAACTTGGTTACAAATCTGAAAGGTTTCACAGGAAAGGGAGTGCATCCTGGATACACAAGTAAATTAGCTCAGATTAAAAAACTAGAATGTGTGAAACTTTGTAAAGATTCACAGTTCAGAAACTGGAGAAGGGGAAAGGAAAAAGAATGCTTAATTTCTGGCAAATAACCTGCAGGGAAGAAATTTGAATGTATGCTATTCTCTTAAGCTAGAATCAGAATTCCAAGTTGCACCATCTTTGAAGAGGAACTGAGTGTTGTTGAATGTCTATGGAATCACTTTTAGTTCTCAAATCTGAAACGTTGTTTTGCAGTGCATCATGAAATGAATTACTCTTACTAAGTTATTAGGGTGTATAAGTATGAAGATGTGTATATACAGTCAGCAGCCTGTAAAACTGCTCAGGAGAATCTTCTTTAAATACCTCAGTATGGCACCACAGAGAAGCATCATCAGATGAAAAGCATGAGACTGGGAATGAAATGAAACAGGCTTATTAATGTCTTTTAAACAAACATAGCAGAAAGACTTGATGTCTGATAAATTTGTTTATCTCTGCAAGTACAGCTGCTGAATGTCTTAATTCTTCACTTTAAAAGAAAGTGTCTGTGGTAAATTAATAAAGTCTTGATATACAAGTATAATGACCAGGTTTTTTTCCTACTCCTTTCTGCAGCCTAGCTTTACTTTCATCTTTTCTGGAAAACAACTTACAATTTAATTATTACAAAAAGTCAAGAGGATTACTTAATGGAAGAAATAAATCAGCAATGTTATTAGAGCATGAAATCAAGTTTATTGAATGTAAAACAGAACCCCTATATTATGTTTAGCTCACATGAGTAGGCTTATTTAAGTCAATGGAAAGATGTGCATAAATAATACTTTAGGAATTAAGTCCTTGAATAACTGTTTGTAGTATCTGGATGTAATACCCATACAGAAAATTCAATAGTATAACAGTAATGTTCACTGCTCCCTTGTTATTTTATTAATGTGTAACTTGGTTTATTTGAGCTGGTTAAATCTTCCTGTATAATCTTATTCAGAAAATTCCCTAAGCCTTTGCTTGAGTCTGTCTTTTTTGATAAACTCAAGAACCACACAGTTTGCCTGCACTGGATAGATATTTTTGGATGTGTTCTGATTCATGCATCCTAGCAAGGACTGTGGACTATAGGCAGAGAAACTGTAGTAACTCAGGTATGTCCTGAGTAAAGCATTTATGAAGAATGGGAGAAAGTCATCATTGCATATGTGTAGCAAGATTTATGAGGAAACAGTTTCACTTATTCTGTGTGTCTCCAGTGAAGCAAATATGTACAAGCTAATTACATAGGAAATGAAATACAACATAAAAAGGAAAAGGTTGTCTAATGAATTCTTTGTCCTAAGCAGCTGCAAATTATTTAATAAAATGTATGTGCTCTGTTACTCTTGCACTGCCAGGTACATTAAGATTCTCCTCAAATAGTCTTTTGCAAATTAATACACATAGTTAAGTAGGACCGTACTGTTCATCATGAACAACAATTTCAGCAATACTATAGGAATGGATTAATTGATAACCTTTACTTACTCTATCTCAATTCCTTTACTACAAAAATCTATTTCCTGTGTGCAATAAGTCACTTCATAGTAGAGAAATTTCACCTGGAGCATGGTAACATGCTATAAACCACAAAGAAATTTTCATATATGTTGTTTTATTGACTTCTTACTGACTGGAATTAGATCTCCATGTCTTCATTGGAAGGATCTGAAAAGAGATAATTTGACAATTATTCTTGGTTAAAATAAGATATAAATGAATGTGGGAGGGAGTGAAAAGCCCTTTTTGTCTTAACTTTCTCATATTTGCACCACATTTTTCCTTAGTATACCTTATATCTTTTTAGCACTTTTCATAAGGTTCAGTTTGTTGTTTACAATAATCTTTATTACTTGTTTAGCATTTTTAGTATCTTTCAGTAAACATTTGCTTTAAAGAATCAATATATAAAACCTGCTAGAGAATTGAAACTGATATAGATTTGAACGTTATGCTTAACAGAGCTTAGAATATTCTTTTTGTTTCTTAATGTTTTAACAGTTTTGTGGTGTTTTTTTGTCTGTTGCTGTATTTCAGGTAGAAATGAACATAAATTCTACAGGTTTTAGGGAACTAAGAGACTGAGATTTGCAGTCAATACAAGGGATAAAAATTTCTGTGTGAATTTAAAGACTCTACTGAAGTAAAAACCACATTTTGCTCTGTTGTGGGGTTTGAGTTGGGCAGTTAGCTGGAAGGAAACCTACAACTTGCTCTTGATTCCTGTGATTTATAGTAACTATGTCTAAACCCAAACATGAATGCTATCCTTTGCAAGTAATAACCTGAGTTCAAACTATTTGATCGTAATACCATTTTTGTATTTTCAGATGGCTTCTATGCAATATTATTTTTTCCCTTTTGGGAAGAAATAATAGTAGTAGCAGATTGTTATCCCATACATTTCCATGGCTCTTTTTAAAGGTAGCCAGAAGTTTGATTTATTCGTCCCCCCCGATTTTATATGTCTATAGTGAAAGGACTATATACTGCAAGTTATCATAGGCTCTCTTTGCAGTCAGTGAAGAAAAACAGAGCATGACTCATCTGACCTGTTTCAGCCATTTATTTAGAGTTAGATAATTTGTGCCCAGAGGTTACATTTTTCCCTGTTCTAAAGTGAACTCAGATGACCACCTTAAACAGAGATGTTAAAAATCTACAATTCATTGAAGTGAAACCTGCCCAGGATTTCTTCATGCTGAATATTAACATGTAGTCAAGGGTGAATGTGTGCTTACAAATGAGCACAGTGTACTACTAAGTTTCCCACTTTCCTTGTCTAGTTATCCACCTTTTTTCGTTAGTAAACAGATCAGAGAAGTAAAGGATGGCATTTTTAGGAAAATGAATTGGTGGCCCCATATAGTTGACTTGAAAGGATTTAGTCCATGTAGAACAAACTCAGTTGTCCACTAGATTTTTCAGAGGAAGAGGGACTTCATTTAGAAAAGGGGCAGAATAACTTTACTGGTTTTAAAATTCTAGTCATATGGAGAACTGTTTCCAGTGTGCCTTACGGTATTAAATTTTCACGTGGGATATCTGCAGTGACTGTGTTGACAAAGATTATCATTGCACTTTCATGTGGCAGACTGGAGGGTAGAAATGTGATTCGGGGACCAGGGATGAAGGAGGGACGCTGTCTGTGTGAGCACGTTCTCTCCTCTGTGTCCTCTGTGCTTACCTTTGAATTGGTTGTTTTGCCTTTATTTATTAAACTTGAAGAATAATTTAGGCTCAGTCCATTTAAGAGTTTGGATATAAACCAAAATGATGAAAGATGTGGAAGTGTGAAAAGAAACCTCAAGAATACAAATGAAACAGCGTGGATCCAGCTTTGGAGAGCAGGTAAGAGACACAGGGCATTCGTTCATGAAAGTAAACTTCTGAATAGATTTACACTTATTGTACTTTATTCTGCTTAGGAAATGGTTGTCTATCACTGTCAAAATCACTGTAGACTGAAGGGGTATGTGTGTGTGTGTGTAATTTCTGAGTTTTCTGTTAGGAAAAAAGTAAAGCAAAATCTAAAAAAAAACATGCTATAGTATAAAAGGCATGTATAAAGGAAGTAAAATCAGAAGTATATAAATACTGAGGAAAGGGTTTGTTCCTATGCCCTTCCAAACTAGTAAAATGTATTAATCAGAAGAAAAAACCCAAGTCTATAACGTATTTGCTGAGAAGAAGGTAATTATTTACTTTTCCAGGTCAGCAGATAACAAGTGAGCACAGCTGATAGGAAGGAAGTCAGTTCACATTACACGTTCCAAACTAATTTCCAGGACATTGGAAAGATGATCTTTAAGGTCACTTCCAATCCAAACCATTTGATGATCCTGTGAATAAAAATATTGATGCTGCATCACGCTGTTCCTCCTAATCCATATTTCCTTGGTATGGTATGGCTTCACTGAGGGTGTCTGTCTGCCATATGCAGCAAATAAAACAGAGATACCTGATTGAAAGATAACTATTGGAATCAAATAAATTTCTATTGAAAGCAGCAGGTTGTTCTGAGATGAGAATACGATAAATGGTTTTAATTATTTCGTTAAGGATTTATAATATTTATTTTAAAATAATTGAACATAAATATGATCAGATTTTTTTAATGTATGATATCAGCAGTGGTATCATTTTTGGCAATCTCCAGAAATTCCAGAAAAACTTCATTTTTCTTAGACTAACCCTTGGTTGTAGATTTCAGTTCCTATGAAGTCATTGAAGATGTATAACAGAACACCAAATTATTTGCTACACACATGGGGATATTGTTTCTAATACAATGTGCAGCAGTCTCTCTTCAGAGTGTTATACTTCACACAGAGAACAAAAGATGACATATATTGATCTCAGGACTTGTAAATCCTAAATGTAGCCTAAAGTCACATTTTCATTAACTTTTTCCATCCTTGTTTCCCACAAATCTGGGAACTGGCTTCTGTATATAATTGTTATGTAGCTGCTAAAACAAATTACCAGCTGAAGGAGTAGATGATGCTTAAAAAATCCCCTACGTGATATATTTAGAAATCCTTATTAAGATATCTTTAATTTAGCTATACTGAAGCAAAGAAGGATCCAGGATCTGAGGAGAAGAGAGAAGGAACTGACAGAATGAAATGGGAAGCTCATACCTGATATTTATCTGTGGGTTAATGCAATTGTTCAAAAGATGTTAAATTAAAGGACATTTACCCCTGTGCAGCAGTACTTTGAATTCAGTTCCCAGAGTCGCTCAAGCACACACCAATGTCCAGCATGTTGCAACCTGCTGCTTCCAAGTTCTCTCTCGTCCCTATTCCCTCTTCTCTCAGACTTTGTGCTCGACCCTGATGAAGGAAAAAAATGTGAGTATCTACTGCCCTCTATCTGCCACTTGCTTTTTCACAGAGGAGTAGTTTATCAAACAGAAAAACTGAGGATATTGTGTTATAATATTTCAGAGAACTTAACAGAGTCATACAGTTAATACCAGAGGCTGGTAGTAACAAACATTAGCTGAGGTTCACACTCAAATCATCTGTAAGTGTCAGAACTGGAGTATTACAAGCTAAGGTGTGCTTGCTTTCCCTGAGCACCAGTATCACCAGTTTCAATATTTGGAAGAAGAAACTTCCTGATGGATGAGGTTCCTGTAACAAGGAGACAAATTCTGAGTTAAATCTCCAATGGAATCACGGCGATCAGCAGGAGGTGAGGCCTTGTGTAGGGAAACCCTATACGAGCTGTTCCTTCAGGAGCTTATTAGTCTGAGAGGCAGCAAGTTTTGACTTCATGTCTCCAGGTTATTCAGTGTAATAAGGTGATGAATAAAATGCATTAAAAATTTTATGTTCAGAAAATTGACTTTTTTTACTTCACGTGTACTTTTCAGAAGTATGTTGAAAGGTAATTTAAATTCTTCATTAAAATTACCTCACAAAGCAGGAAAAGTTTTTTAAATGGAAATGAAAGTTTTATTCCAAAAAATGCAAGTATTTCAGGCTTTGGTCAGAGCTTCAAGTATCAATTGCCTCTGTTTTACTTTGCTCTCCAGCTACACTTGATCTTTGTACTGTGGTATTACTCTTCATAAAAAGTCAATAACTACTATCACATTCCCCTGAGAAACTGTAGCAGAAACAGAAATGTTGGAATTTTTATTTTCTCTTTTATAACAGAAAATTTACTTTCTTGTACCTAAAATATGACTTATTTTTTTTTTTGCTTTAAGCCTTTAAGCTTTCCCCTGATTTGGTCTGCAGAGTGATGGAGAAGCCTTGCTGGTGTGATGGGTGGGAGGGCTAGGACTGAGCACCTGCTCCTTCCTCAGCTGAGGGTGTGAGAAAGCAACTTGCACCACCTTCTCCCTACAGGAGACACAATAAAGTAAGAGGCAACTCTTTGTGGTGCTCATCTCATGCTATGAAATCTGCCTTGCGATACAATACATTTTTGAACTAATGATAAATCTAGCAGAGGTGATAGGAGCACACTGCTTTTATGTCTCTCACAGGCTGTGCATACATAACTCCTCTGCACAGCTTCACAGAAAAGGTTTCTTTTCTGAAGGATATCTGGCAGAAAGCCTCGCTCTTGGGTAGGAGAAGCAAATGGACTTAGCATTTCCCTCATGTGACCTTGAAGTAGAAGCATATGGAATGTACAATACTCAGTACTCACCTTGAAAACTTGGATTGCCTGTATCCAGGCATTTAAGACCTCTTTAAAGTTTATTTTTGCTTAACAGTTTTTCTTTAGAGAAATTCCCCTGAATATGATGATGTTGGAATAAAATTAATATTGTAATCAGCACATGTGTGCATAAATAACCTGGTGAAAATAGATGTCTACCAGTTTCCTTCAAATGTGGTATCCTGGTTGTGTTATTTATTTAAGCATGTATAAATATCTGATTTTGCACAGCAGCTGATGATTTAGACTTTTACACTGGGTTGACTCTCTGTTTATGTGTTGTATGGATGATGGCTAGGAATTTCTATGCCAGGAACTATTTCATTGCCAGTGATCAGCCTGACAGTCCTCATGCTCCTCAAACAACAGAGGACTGTCTGAGAGGATTGATTACAGAGAGGAATTTGGCTACAGTTGTGAAAATGTGACTTATAACTCTTGTTCCTTGTCCATTACAGTGTCTTGTCTTTTCTGTATAGTACTTCTGTTGCAGTCCTCCCCTCTGAGGGTACCTTGAGTACAATAACCTGGTTTTTGTTGTCATCCTTTTCTTCTTTCCTTCCTTTCTTCATCTTCTGCTTGTCTACAACCATTTCCAAAGCACTGGATAATTTACTCAATGATTTGAAAGCATTATATGAGCTTATCCCCATACTAAAAGAACACATATGATGTTAAATGATTGCATTAAATATACAGTGATCTTTGCATCAAATTTTTGGTGACTTTTTATTTGTGTAGTCTGTTATTGATACTGTTAGTGGTGAAATTAGGCTTTATATTTTAATTTTTTCTATTTGACATTAGAAGGTGTGACTGATATATTAGATGAAAACCCACAGCCCTTGGTGTCTTTGAATAAGGCCTTCTTGCTCTCTAAGAGTTGGAGATTCAGGCTCTCTGAGCACTTAATTGGCTGTAATATAAAAGCCATCAGTTTGATGATGAGTAATGTCAGCTGCTATTGTCAAGCAGTCCAAATAAGGTAAACAGGTCAAAATACCAATATCATGAGAGTGTAATCCATTAATCAATATTATCTCAGTTCAAAAAATATTTTGTGGTTTATTTGACTTGGGGTTGCGAAGTAAGGCTATTCTGTTCTTAAAAGGTCAGCAACAAAGAAGAAATAGAAATATGTGTCAAGAATATGTGAGTGAATGAGTAATTGTGGATTTCAGTTATACTTCTCCCTATGTTTTTGTATATTCACAGTTTAACTCTACATATGTTAATTGATGATACACATATTTTTTTAGTCTCATGCTGAAATGGAAACACAAGGTAACCAGCCATTTTCTCCTCTTATGAAACTGCTTTTGCAAGTCAGTACCAGATTAAACCTCCTGCTATTCAGATCATTATTTCTTGAACTAAGTCCTCTGAGGAGGGCAATATTCTGCAATCTCTCCCTGCCTTCTCTTAGAGAGGATGTTATTTTCAAAATACTACAGGCAGCACAATGAATATTCAATGAGAGGTCTTCCTGTGACACCTGCTTCCTCTGTAGAGCTTTAAGACTGCTTTTAAAAGCTGACAGAGGAATGGTATTATGTGCCTGTAAAAGCAATGAGTTTCATTTAAGGAGGTATATATTAAAGCTGTCGTAGGTGGCCTGATTAATGTAACACCTCAGTGAATTTATTATTTCCTAAGAAGCAGCACCAAGGAATATTTTACGTCAAAAATATGTATCAGGATTGATCCTTCTGTTGGAACCTCAGTTTTATGGCTAAGTTTCTGATTCTGCCAGCAAAATGGATGTTATTTCTTCATTGGATTTTTAATTTAAAAATCTATACAGGTTTGAGGTTATGTAGATATTTGTATTTATCACAGAATTGCACTGTAACTAAGAAGCATATTGTGGTTTTTATCAGGAGTTAGTAAAGTTCAGATGTGCAACTATAAAGATGAAAGAAAGTAGACAAACTGCATGTGTTGAGTCCATTTAATCATTAGGATTCTTCAGAGAAAAATATGTCTTATATCTATCACATACAGAATAATTACCAATAAACTGCAGTGCTGAACTGAAGAAAAACAGTGTGGCCTGAAAAAAGAATGTATTATGTGTCATTTAGTTAATGCTGCATTAAGCACACAGTGGCAGGAACTCCCTGCACAGCTGTTGGAGATTCCTGTGAAATGTCCACTGTGTGTATTTA